CAAGAAAGGTCACATCTTTCCCAAATCTGGCCTGCTTTTCTTTAATAAAACTGACTTGAAGAAAACCACTTTTTAGTAAATATCTTTTTTGTGTCTCAAATCAACACCAAAATCATGCCATACTTCTCGCCTCAATTTCGAACACGACATTTCTTGGGTTAGACCACCGACGGGGTCCATATTCTCGTAACCAGTCTCTCATTCTAATCAAACGTTATTACCTGTATTCCCTCCAAGAGTCATAGGGGACCAGTAAAAGCCATCCCGTCTGCTTTTGAATAATAACTCTTGTCTGTGAAGACTGCCACCTTCATTTTTCCGGCCTGATGAAGACTAATTTAATCACTTTTATTTTTCTCATCTACTCATAAAATTTTAACCGGGTACTTAAAAAGCTAATTGGCTAGCCGGGCATTTCAGGCATTTTGTAAACTATTGTAGGTAACATTTGTATTCGCAGTTACCAAAAATTACTATTCATACAGGCAACGGTTGAAAGGTAAATTGGTGTGAATCAGCCATTGTCTTTAGGGATGTAATGAAGGGCAAAAAATAACTTTCAGGTAGAATAAGCTAATTTGTTTGAAGTAAGGCTGTAATTTTTAAGCGAATGGTCAAGTTTGCTATTTGCTTTCTCTGATATCCACATAATTACTTTAAAGGATTTTTAAAGAAATGGAACTTGAGGTAAAAATATTTTTCACTTTACTCAAGAAGGTACCAGTTTAGCGAAATTACGATTTGGGAACGACCGTGTCTAATGTTGCTTTAACTGGATTTTACAGGTGCCTTCCTAATTTCCGTTCTATGGGATGCCTTTTAAATTAATCTTGATGGGCAGTTACATTTGTGAATAAGGCAAAGGTGAAAAATTCAAGTTTATTCCGGGAAAACCTTGTTTCAATCTCCCGAAAGTAACATTGCTGACCATCTTGGAAGTTCGTTTATCTGCCGGATTAGGGGACCTACTTGTTCCATTGTATTTATGGGCTCGACCTTGAGCCCAAAAGGCTGTTCCACAGCAAACAGTATTATGTGCAGAAGGAGATTATTGATAAAGACAACAGGAACTGTGGTGACCTCTCCTGGCTCTCTGATCATCGTGAAGCCGCCTTACGTCAGCCCAGGTTTGATGGCACCGCAGGATTAAAACCACTTAAACTCTGTTGATTATTTGTCCGACACACTTACATTGAAGCCACAGGCTCTCTATCCTGTCGATTGCAATCGGAAATATTAACTATGTCGGAAGTGCGCTCACTGATTGGGTTACGGAACCTACTCAATCCGTTGACCTTCGGGGTTCGATTTAGAGACTCACAGGTAGTCGCACCGCGACGTGTCTCAGTGATCAATCTCATGAAATGGTAATCGAAATTTTAAAATGTGTTTTCGATTAGAAAAGATTACTTAGGTAGGACTGTTGTATTGAATATTTCGCTACGCAATCGTGCATAGTACAGACGCATACAGGTCTTGGCTTTTGAATGCTCTTTTTATCGTCTGCAAAAATCCCACTTGGAAGAAAATGGCCACTTAAGTAGTATGCTGCTTATATATAGATTGTCGAAGCCCGTGCATTCAACTGGTAGTAAACCAAGTCTTCTGCTAAATTTATATTCGACGAAAGGACAGCTTCTAGTTTTAAGAAGAGTTTTTCAATCCCTCAGTAAATTGAACTCAACCTCCCAGCGCATGTTCGTTCAGGGATTTAGTCAGCAATCCATATACTTTCCGTGGGGCGAAAAACACGTATTCCCGTATGTCATCAACGAAACATATATGAGGATCCTAAAATGTTTCAAAAGATTAGAACTATTCTGTTTACTTTTTAAGGAGCATTATAAAACAGACAGGTACAAATCTATTTGAATAGGAATTGCATAGTCTTAAAAATCTGTTAGTTGGAAATTAGTTTAAACAAAAAGATTACCTTTTGTCAAGTAAACAATTCGAAGAAAACGTGAACTGCTACTAAATGAAGATAAAAGGAAACAATTAATGCAAGTTCCCCATAAAATATTTTTGGTTTTAAAGAGGCATCGAAGACCGACATAGAAAATGAATACTATTTAGCCAGTCATTTTCTACTGGGTGCGGTTTTCACAGACGGTTGAAAGGAAGGGCGTTCAAAAGTCAAAATTCGGACGGTTCTGAGATATCGTGGGATTATGCCACAAGCTAAGCAACTTTACAACTCCGCCTAAATAGTCCTCATAAAGCAAAACTCACGAACAGTCAAGGCAGTAGAACTAGCAAATATGATCAGGAAAAATGATCATTTAACGTGACAGTCGGAT